TATATATATATATATATATATATATATATATACGTATAATACTCCTTTGCTTTCATCCAAGTTAAATGTTTTTGTTGAAAATAAAGAGAAAAAAATAGACTTTCATATTCGCTTCTATTACTCACAAAGTTGAATTGAAATATTTCAACAAAATTTTTTTGTTTTAAACCCGCAGCGCCGTTCTCGCCTCTGATCCCCTGAAATGCAGATAGGTGCACCAGGGGCTCTCACTATATATTTATATGTTTTCTTTCTAATAATAATAATAATAATTATTATTATTATTGTTCTCTGTTGTTATATATTTTCACTTACGTATGATAATATATTACAGGCGACAACGATACTATATACTACCCATATCCTAATATCTATCATTTCCCTCCCCTCTCTACATTTTCTCTCTTTTGCCTCTAATTTGGTGTTTTATTAAATACGCAGAAACCCCGGAAAGTGGAGCTATATATATATATATATATATATATATATATATATATATATATATATATAATATATGCTGTATGANNNTATATATATATATATATATATATATATATATATATATATATATATATATATATATATATATGTATATAAAGAGCTATAGACATCCACCGTTGCTGCAAGCGGCTTCAGCTCAATCTTTCAGTTGCAGTGTAGATGCAGATAAACTAGAAAAATGTAATTGTGGTGCGACAGCGGCAGCAGAGCCCCTTTGAGGCTGTTGTAGATAGTTGATACCCTTTTATACAGCATATACATTTGTTATTAAAGCCCCAGGAAAGCACTGCAGAACGCATCGCCCGTAACTTGCAACCCTAAACCCCAAGCCATAAACCCTAAGCCACTACAACAAGCATAAGAAAATTGGGTTTGTGTCCGCTGGCGTTGCCTGCAGGGGAAGATATGAATGTCTGAAGGCCGCAGCGGGAGCGTCTTCTGTCTGTTCGCCTCCTTCTTAATCGCTTTCACACTGCTGCATAAAGAGATATATTTCAGCTCAATATTTCAGTTGCAGCGTAGATGCAGATAAACTAGAAAAATGTAATTGTGGTGCATATGATTCCTCTCTCAAGGTTGCAGAGTGACAGTGCAAATGTCACCGAAAAGAAGATAGGCAGTGTTTGCTAGGCTTGTGGCATTGCAGGGAGGAGCCTATTGTTGCTCCCCAAACCCTAACCCTAGACAATGAAATGTAACACTAAACCCTAGGCCCTAAGCCTAGACACTAAACCCTAGCCATAAACCCTAGCTGTAAACCCTAAACCCCAAGCAGAACGGTGTGTTCGACACACCTATAGAGGTCAAGCAGGCGAGATGTATCACTTGTGGGTATCTCGCGCGAGCTGCGTGCCCTCAGTAGCTGCATTTATATGAAATAACTCTTAAAAAGTTTCTGTAGACGGGAAAACTCTCCCTTCCTATCCCTAGGCAGCGTTAAGAACAACAGAAGCTCAGGCTCCCCAAGTGTAAGAGGAGAGAAAGCAGGCTCGTGTGGCCGTGCAGCCACACACTGTGAGAATGAATTCATAAGAAATACTTTGTTATGCTGAATTACATGCTTAGCTGCTCGAGTATAGAAGAGATATTCTGTCGTTTGAGGGATAGGTGAAGCAGACGACGACACCACGCGTGTTCAACACTCAGCAGCAGCAGCAAAGGCAAAGCAGCCACAGCAAAAGCAGCAATAGTAGCAGCAATTTCTAATAGAGAGAAACATGAGCTTTGCTTTCTGCAGCTACATTCATGTTCTTTTCAGTTTCGTTGAGGATCGCTTCGTTTCTTGTTCTGCGTAACGTGTGCCCAAGGACCAATGCGAGCAACCATGAAGCCAAAGACTTTCGGCTGATATCTATCCCCTGTCTACAGGATTCCTGGAGGTTCAGCTGGTGGCTTAGCGGTGCAGGAGAAGAGGCAGCGGGAGAGTAGTTGCAGCGCACCCAGCAACAGGCGGCGACGCAGGCCAGCCTCACATGAAAACACACCGAAACCTGAACGAAGCCCCCCCCCAACTGCATGGTTTATCTCTATAAACACTTCTTAGAGATTTGTATTTGCTTGCAGGCAACCTATCGAAGCCTAGTGAAATATTCCTGTGCTAACTGAAGGCAAATCATACAACATTCTGTTTCCGTGGCTGCTGGATATTCAACACGCGTGCAGCCTTCGCATCCTTCCTCTGTCCATCAAACAACATAATTTCTCCTATAAATACATTTTAAATAAACATTTAATTAAAAATAAGAAATTATTTCCAATGAACCGATAGTGTAGCGCTAGTTCTCTGGCCTTTAGCTGACCTGAGACGAGCCCCAATGAAGGCAAAGACTTAAAGCAAGAGTTTCCCAAAGGCAGCTGACCTCTTTCCGCGGTACCTAGGCATCCTGGGCGTTGAGCCCAGGGCCAGGGTGTCGCGGGGAGGAGGCAGCCCGAAATGGGGTTGCAGCTTACCCCGCTGCCGCTGCGGCTGGCAGAGCAAGCCAGCCCCACTTGTGCACTAAAGGAAGCTTCAGTGAAGCTTCCTTTGCTGCATGCTTTTTCTCGTAACGAACTTGTATAACGTTTGTAGGCGCTTACGCGCAGCAAGCCAAAGCCGTCGATAGGCTCCTGAGCTAACTATGCGCTAACTCATGTTGCAATAGAGGGCCGGCGGCATATCCAGCGCTACATACAACGGATATTCAACCTGAAACCACCGAGAAACAGTCGTTATATCCTTCTTCAGAACAAATATTTCACCTAAATTAATTAAATTAATTAAATTAATTAAATATTAGTGCTTTCTTGACTGCTTTTCTCCGTGGGGCTTTCAGAGCAAAACACAGCGGCCTCCATTGCGCCCCACCCCACGCCCCTCAGCTGCAGCAGCAGCAGCAGCTGCTGCTGCTGCAATGCATGCCTTTGGGTTTCTCTGCTGCCAGCGTTTTGAATTTGCTGTGTGGGCATTTCTGTGTGATAGAAAAGGTATTTCTGTTGCCTTTCACAGCAAAATGAGTCAGGCCAAGAAGACGACAACCCCAGGCGCTGCAGCAGCAGCAGGAGGGCAGGGTGCGCGTGCTGGGCGTTTTCGCCTGAGGCGTAAGAACAAGAGAGTGACGGATTTGAAGCGTCAGGCTATGGGAAAGACATCCTGCAAGCTACGAAAGAGCATCACTCCTGGCACTGTGTTGATCCTTCTAAGCAGCGGGTACAGAGGGAAGCGTGTGATATGCCTGAAGCAGCTGGAGCCCTCAGGCCTCCTCCTTGTCTCAGGGCCCTTCACTGTCAACGGTGTTCCTCTCCGTCGTGTGAACCAGCGCTATGTTATCGCTACCAGCACCAAGGTAGATGTTTCTGGGGTTGATCTCAGCGGCATTTCAGATAGCCTATTCACCCGCACTGCAAAGGAGAAGAGAGAAGAACGCAAAATGAGAACAAAGGACGATACCTCGCTCTTCGTGCAGCAGGATACTTCGGCCCAGAAAAAACTCCCAGAGGAGAGAAAGAAGCTCCAGGAAAGAGTCGATAAGGCCCTTCTTGCGGTTGTTAATAAAGACGCTCTTCTTAAACAATACCTCAAAACAAGATTCACCCTCCGCGCCAACATGGCCCCCCACGCCATGAAATTCTAATTCTGCACCCCAGGGCTTTCAGTGTTATCAGGGGGGTTGAAGGGGGGGGAAGGGGGGGGGGGNGGGGGGAGGGGGGGGGGGGGAGGATGCAGTTGCTGTAGCATGCTGCAGCAGGCAGGCTGCAGGGGTTGCGGCACGGAAGGCCTGTCGCTGCTGCTGCTGCTGCTGCTGCTGCAGCTGCTGCTGTGGCGGAGGAAAAGGACGGGGAGGGCAGAACGGGGTAAAAGGGTCTGTGCGGTGGGGCGCGTAGATTTGCGTCTCGCTTCGTTTCCTGCCGCAGGGCTTCATCGTGCCCCGGGGCTGCTGCTGCTGCTGCAGTTGCTGCTGCAGCTGCTACCGCAGTTGCCGCTGCAGCTGCTGTCGCAGTAGCCGCTGGTGCACCACAACTGACCTGTTTCATTCGTCGATGGTTTGGAAAGGAAGGATATAGGTGATGCTAATATAACAAACTAAAAGCAGCAGTCCGGGATACTGCAGCGGTAGTTGTTTGCTTAGTTAAGAGCAGATGGCAGAGAGGAGGAAACATATATGTTGCTGCTTCGATGACGCGTATTCACAGTGTGAATATATAGATTCACGTTAGTTTCTATAGTAACAAGAAACCCCCTCAGCTTCATACACCTCTATCATCACCAGATACTAACGGGGGCTGCATCCTGAATAGTTTCTCACTACGCACTTTTTTTTGCTGCTGTGGTGGAGGCGTGTCAGTGACAGCGTGAGTTTTCTGCGGCGTTTCACTGATAGCTTCAGCACGCAGAGTGCATGCAGGCGTGTTTATGTGTTCTTATTAGAGAGAAAGTTGAATTGAATGCATACACGAGGACTTCGTCTCTTGTCGCCCAAGTGTCCTGTGCTTTCTATTACTCCTTTTTGGGTGTTTGTTTTTCCACTTTCTTTTTTTTTTTCTGCTCATCTAAGCGACGCAAGCAGAGAAATGAAACCGGGCTTAATGCATATTCAGGGGTAGGTAAGCTGGCTGCATGCAGCTACTGCATGAGTTTTGCTTGGTGTTGTTGAATACATATTTTATTGTTGTTTATTTTTAATATCTCCGGCTTGCAATCCTTTGCTTTTATCCATTTGGGTGTGATAGCGTAAGACGAAGAGAAGAGGAGGCGACACGAAGCCCTTCGCAATGCATGAAACGATACAAGAAAACAGTTTTCTTGAATCTTTGGATTACAAAGAAAATCCTTTTATAAACATTTTCTCTCAACGTCAGCTTCAACTGCAACAGCTGCTCAGCACCACCATAGGAATACATCTTCAGTGAGGCGATACAGGCTGTCACCGGTGATGAAATAAAAAAAAAAAAAACAACTACTGCTACTACACACACTCCTGCCAACCTTGCTGCCTCTGTTTTTGCTGCTATCTTCGCTGCAGAGTTCACCTGCAACAGGCGGCCAGCCGCCCGCATTCAACTATGAAAGACCGGCAAGACTGGGTTCTTGAATTGGTGTTTTTCTCGCCTCTCCTTAGTCTGAGTTGGCTGTAATATATATATATATATATATATATATATATATATATATATATATATATATATATATATATATATA